GTTCTTTGTATACTATAGCTTTCTCTCTATTAGTGGGGTCATTGAGCAATTGAGTCCTGGCTTCTTTCCTTCTATTAAATGTTTCCTTGCAGGAATTGTTGAACCACGGTTTCCTTGTTCWCTTTTGTTTTCCTATTAGTGTATCTTTGACCGTTTTTATAGCATCTTTTAACACTTTYCATTTAGTATCAATTGTCTCTTCTTGATTTATGTTTAAACTGCTCATTGTTTCATGTAATTTTTGYTTGAAAATTCACATATATTGGTGTCCTTTAACTTATTCACATCAAATCTGTCCACTAATAATCCTTTACTATGTATTAGTTTCTTGAGTTTTACTTTCAGCTTTCCTTTAACTAGGTAGTAGTTTGAATCACAGTCAGCTCCTCTTACAGTTTTAACATCATGTACATAATTTATGAACCTAGTATTTATCAGGACATTGTCTATCTGACTGACATATCTACAATTTGGTGCTTCCATGTACCCTTATCAATATCTTTGTGTGGGAGCATCGTGCTCTTTACAATAAGTCCTCCACCACTAGCAAAATCTATATGCCTGAGTCCATTCTCACTAGTTACATCGTGAAGGCTATGGACACCAATCGTTGACCGAAGTATGTTCTCCTTCCCTAACTTGGCATTGAAGTCCACTAAGACTATTCTAATTCTATTTTGTGGGATTTCGTTTAGCGTGTGTTCCAGTTTATCATAGAATTCGTCCTTCTCCTCTTGCGTTTTTTCTTCCATGGGTGCATGCCCATTCACGAATGTGATATCGAAATATTGTGCTTCTATTGTTAACACTGATATTCTTGGGTTAATGCTTTTGAATTCTCTTACTGAAGKTACTAAGTTTTTGTATCTTGAATATCTAGCGTTCCTTTATCATTCCATCTTATCTCTTGTTGGGCCACCACTACTAGTTTATATCTCTCTGTTTCCTCAAGTAAGCATTATCCTGCTCCAGGTTTATAAAGTGTGCTAATGTTTCATGTTCCAAAATACAATCCATTTTTCCATTTTACAGTCTTGTTTTCCAAAGCTCCACGATTCCGAGGCAAGTTTGTTGTTAGTTCCTGAACAATATTTTTTTCTAAGGCAGGATTGTTAGCCCTGCGCTAAGCCCCCAACCTAGAGGACCAGTCTACTACAACCAATTAAGGTCAGAGTAGGGCTATTGCAGTGTACTTACTAAGTGCACTGGGCGATGGGTACATCACTTTCCATGCGCCATCACCTACATAGGTTACATATGTATAAAGCTAGAAAAATTAGCTAGTAGGTAAACACATACCACCCACCAAGTCTCATAAAATCTATTTGTATATCACTTTAAAAATATCAATGGTCAAAAATATAAAGATCATAAATCTATTAAATATTAATTTCTGAAAAATCAATACATATATCTATTAAAAATTAGTACACTACTTTATTTTTCCTAGGTAAGGAAACTCTATAAATCATGAATGTTTTTTAGAGAGGGGATAGTTAACATTGTAATCATAATACATCTCATAAGGTAACGAAAACTGCTTATAATAAAAAAATAAAAAAAAAAAAACAAGAAAAAGTATTCATGCATGAAACTTGGTGATCTATGTGGGTTGAAACTTGAAAGTAAGGCTATAAACGTTTTTTAACAAAAATGATAAATACTATAATATGTCAATATTGAACTAATTTATTTTATTACAATAGTCAACAAAACAATATAATTTTTATGTTTAACCTATGACTAATAATTAATAAATAGATACACSATGATATAATAAACTAGGTATGATTTCAACAGACGTATTTATATTTTCTGTTGTGCAAATATGGCGCTGATCTTTCACCAATTTTCATTGATTTAAATATTATCATAGTATCAAACTTTTTTGGCGGTATTCTGGGCTTTGGAATTTAATCATGATAAATTTATTATCATATTAAAAATTTTCAATTTTTGATATTTTGATTTGAAATATATAAAATAAGTACTTGAAGAACTTCTGCTGTTTAATATTTACCAGTCTAAAGAATGGAGACTAGATAACCCTGACAAATTTAGTATCATTGGACAACCTACGGAAAGGCCCCCGGGGTTCCAACTACCTCGAAAAGAATGGGTGACCTTAAATAGACTTAGGACTGGCCACGGAAAAACGGGAAATATGCTGCATAAATGGGGACTTAAGGATACACCACAATGCGACTGCGGACACGACAATCAGACAGCCAATCACATCGTGGAAGAATGTCCAGAACGCAACTTACCAGGCGGAATGAAACACCTCCATAAGGTAACAGCAGCAGCAACAGAATGGTTGACCAACCTGGACATTAGAGTCTAAGACCACACAAATAATATCCCGACCCACCATCCGGTTGCTATTATATATATTTTWATATTATCTTATATTTAACTAACTAACTACTACTTCTACTGTTTTATGTTTCCCTATCAAAATTTGATATCTATATTTTATATTTCTTATTGTGATATTTATTGTTGTTGCTATAGTATTAACTATTTTTTTAATAAGTGTTAGTGTTGGATTAAACCATACGAGAAATAATAATAACCAGTCTAAAATCATAATTTATAATGCCGGTTTGTATTTCAAATGCTGTGTGAGCGGCAGCAAAAAAACAGTGTTGTTAAGGACAAAAATGTACACTTACATAGGTTCCCTAAAAATGTAGATTTGAGAAATAAATGGTAGAGTCAAATATCACAGGATTCGTCTATAAAAATGTAGATTTTGAAAAAGGTTTGTATAATAGGGGATCAAGTAAGTATACAATACTAAAATGTAGTGTTTATTATACAAATATTATATAATTACATGAGAACGTGCATTAAATACTTCATGGCGTATTTATTCCTTATAAGCGACTTACAGTTTATTTGGTAGGTACCAAATAACATACAGTTAATAAGATTAACACGTGATATTGTAAAATCAAAAGAACTTAAATCTGTAAAAAAAAATTTAATTTTAATATTTAAAATTAGAATAAATATTAAGATATCGGTAAAGCACTAAAGTAAACGGTTACGATTTTACGAAAATTAAATATATCAGTGAATCAGTTATCACTTATCACAATAATCTAAACAACCAATGAGAAATAGCGAAAGTCCAGCGCCATGTTTCCGTTAGCAATAATATTAATTGGTGGAAAAGAGGAGTATACTGTATGCGTATCATATAATCTGTGATCATACCTAGTTTATTATATCATGAGATACACTAACATCGAAGATACAATAGTCATATAATGATAATAATATGGTATGTGTTTAATGCCGCCTCCCGATATAGGTATTTCCACAGTGATGGAATCGACCACGCAGGCCTTACCGTCCTTACCAACTTTCTCGCCGATTGAACAGCCGCATACCTATCGCCCGGAGTGAAGAAGTAATTGACTTATTGGACGGCACCGCGAAACACAACTCCTGACAACCACTGTAGTTAGCCGCGATCGAGCATGGATGCGTGTTTATAATAAGCTGATCGTGTTTGTTGTAAATCTTTAGTTTGGATACCCAAGAAAAGTTAAATAATAATAGAAAAGTTTAATAACAACAAATTTCTAGACTAAATTATATAATTATAATAAGGTTGTGTTATTTAGATGGTTAAATAAGTTGGTCAAGTTCTGTCTCCTGGAGGAACATTTAACAGTTTATACTTTTAACAGTTTGAACTTTGAACATTCTTTTAAAACTGAATAATACATATTTACAACACTTTCCTACAGAGAGGAAAGTAAAAGATTGCCAACTATATATAAAACGAAGGCAAAATACAACATTACAAATTACAATCAAGTAGAGTTAAGTTGGTGTGAATCTCTTAAGTCTATATCATTCAACTATACAAAAAATTTGAATTAAATTCTATTTCTAGACATAACATTTTTTTAACGATGTCATAATAAGTAATACATACCTAGGTATTTAATATTTTATGCAATATAATTATTATTTTAATGTTCACAAACACAAATATGTTATTTAATTATTTTTTTAATTTTAATCTCTTTTGAGGTTCATTTTTTCAAGAAGAGTGATTGTATTGGAAGTGGAGATGAAGTTTCTAGATGTTATTCATTAAGAGGTATACTATTACATTTATGGGTAACAATTTGTGTTAAGCATTTATTAAAGACATTTTGCGATTTTAATTGGATCATTGTCTGAGCTACCTATGCATTTTACTATCACTATGAATATTAAAATATACTTATAGGTATACTTATACTAATATACCAGATATTTTTCCTCATCCATCATTATACATAAACGTTTTTGATTATCTTTAACGTCAATCGTGAAAAAGTTTATTAACGCTTACCCGTCCCATTTGTGTGTATCCTTGAGATAATGCATTTCGAATCAACGTTTTCATTTTTATAAAAGTATGAATAATAAATGTAGTTGTCATGAGCATCGAAATCTAGACTTAAGACCTTCTTATAATTTGTTGATACTGATTGTATGGCATCAATATAATTGTTTCTTATAGTAAACTCAATTTCTTCGGAAACATTTTTGAATAATTTATCTATGATGTCCGACTGATTTGAATACGACAAATATTTGTCCACCACTAAATCAGATAAGAAAAACATCATATTATACACGTTGACATTAATTTAGCGCAAATATACGAATCACTGACCAATGGTTTTATATTATATATTAAATACAACTCACAAATGCAGTTATGCTTGTCTTCTGCAAGTTGATATCCCGTGTTACAGACGCACTCGTACGCTAACACACCGTGGGTTTCTTTAACCACGTTGCACTTGTGTTGACAACCTGCATTGTTCTTACTGCAAGGTGAGACTAATGCAAAAACAAAACACTAATATTAAATATTACACTTCATAGATATTTGCTTGGCTTTAGATGTGTTGGTTGAGAAGTTAAAAAGGAACTGAGTAGTACACCAAAACTGAATTCTCAGATATTTTAGCATACCAGAGAAATCAGTGACAATCGAATTAATTAAAATTACTGAAAACAAAAGAAATGAATCGTAAATAATATATATATAACCTTAATAAAAAAAAAAAACAATTTTTTGATTTTATATAGATATGTTGGTTTCGGGTGAAATTATTGTGCTCGTGGATGACAGATGGGGGATATCAAAGACTGCTTACAGCCTTAACAACTCTTTTTATTATTAATAATAATAGAATAGAATAGAATCTATTAAGTAGATTATTGATAAATATAAATTGTTTGATATAAAACGTTCCCAAACACACTTCTGTCTTGACCATATCCAATGGTCACCAACCAGAGTACCGCTACGGTGGCGACCAGGACGTGGTTCGAACGCAACGTGGGTTTAGCTGTGCCCGATGTTCGTCTGGCCTCCATACTGTATGCGTTCGAGTCGAAAATTCTTATCAGTGTCTTAGTCAAGTAAGTGATGGTGGGTGCTTGCACACGTGATCAAAACAAAAAATCCTCCAATGCCAAAATCTGAAATAACTGTTAAAAACGAATGACAATCGCAGGATATTATAATTTATATGATTATGATTATGATCATCACGAAGGCAATACACACTATTAGTGGCTATAACAAATTTCGTAATATAATTATAATTAATATAGAGATGTCCAATAAACGATACTGGTCACATCATGCGCGCACAATTTATTATCATCGTCTATTATAAATATAATAATAATATGCGGGTATTTATTGCAGATTATATTAACTGCATGTCTACATATGAAATGTTTCTTTAATTTTAATTATACCCTAAAATATTCGAAATTAGGGAACATGCTTGTTCTATGATATCCAAGGTGTAACAGATAGAACTGTTTGGAATAACTTTTGTTCAAATTAATATTTTTACTATTTTTTTTTTTTTTATTGAATACTGTTATTGTAGTTATTCTTCTTTTGATTTCCAAATAATTATCCTTCTTGTTTAGTCATTTTAAATATTAATTGATGTTATAGCTGTTTAATAAAAAGAAATGATGTTATACATAAGAATATATACAATTAACTATTATCATAATTAA